AGGACCGGCCAGCCCCCCCCAGATACAAGCCGGGGGGGGGGGGGCAGCAGCTCCAGGGACAGGCTTGTCTTCCAGCTCCCCAAGTTTCTCGGCAGCCATGAAACCCCTCTGCCCTCCATCCAGCACCCTGAGCTGCTGCCACCCAGCAGGCACCACTGCTTTAGGGAAGCATCTTCCAGGATGTTTGTGGGACCCTCCATGGGGTCCCAGACTATAGTGAGGACCCTCTCTGGCATCTGAGTCTCTAGCGTGGATACTCCCAGCTGAGAGAAATCTTAATTTCCAGAGACCAGGCTCTCAGTGGCAAATCTGTCCAACTCAGCCCCTTTCACCACCAAGAAAAGCTGCACAGAAAGCCTCGGCTCCCCTCCCTTTTCACCATGTCCACAACCCTCCCCAGGGGCATTAGACAACTCCAGGTGGGCAGGAGAGCCCCGAATGCTGATACGTGGGTGTGAGCACCTCCACGCCAACATCTGCCCCCATGGGTGCTGTGTGGTGACGAGAGGCAGGCAGCACCAGAGAGCATGTGACATCTCTATTCGCTGCTGCTGAAAACTTCCCCTCTGTGCATGGAGAGTGCAGACAACACATTTCGAGTTTTATCAAGTTTTCAATGATGCCCATTGTAAGCCAACAGTAGCCAGGTAGTTGATGTACAGAAAACACTACAGTCCCAGTTTGATTGCCCAGTTGAGGGAGACTCAACTGATATTCTTGATCATTCTAAGAGAGGACAATAGTGGGCTGAGCCACCTGCTCTGCACCCCTCCCATCCCACCCCGGGAGCAGCTTGGCTCCAGCCAGCCCAAGGCTAGACAGGGAGGACGGGGCACCCACCTGGCTGGTTGCTAGGAGCTCTGGGTTTCCGTCACTCATCCCCACGTAGGCACTCTCACCATCAAACTGGAACAGAGAAAGAGAGGCAGCTCTGATGAAAATGTTCTCAAGAAGGGCCCAGGAGAAGCCAGAGGAGGTCAGGGGACTAAAAGCACTGAGGCGAAAAGACTCTGGAGCCTGGAGAAGCAAAGACTGAGCCCACGATGCCCAGCCCCCATTTCAGCAGGACTCCCTCTAGGGTTGAAGGAGCAGTCCTTATTCTGTGACCTCTGATGGCTTGGGTTCATCACACTTAGGATGCAGAGAGGAAAACCTTTCTGCCCTTTATACCTTGTCCATAGATGTGTCAGGTTGCCCTGTCAGATACTGAGCTCCCCATCTCTGGAAGTATGCAAATATTTCTCCTGGCCAAAATAACATCAGGCTCTCAGCTAGAGCTGGAATTCCACAAGCTGGAGAGAGGCCAAGGTCTCCAGAGCCTTGGGATCAGGACAGCCTGCCCCCGACCCATCCTCCAGGTCTTACCATCCCAAGTGGCTCTGCCCCCTCACCTTTGACCCTGAGGCAGTGAGGACTGTGGTAAAAACCAGGTACAGGAACTACACCCTGTGTTCTGAGCAGCTGCCAAGGCTGGAGTTGTCTGCAAGAGGGAGCAAGTGTAGCGGGAGAAGCAGGGGCTCTGGGGCCACTGGCTCCCCTTTTCCCTGATGTGTGATCTTGAGCTGGTGTCTGAACTTCTGAGGTGCCACATCTGTCAAATGGGGATAACGACAGTAGTCCTCTCTCCAGGGGATGCTGCACTGAAACGTGCAAAGCACTTGGCTCAATTCCAGTTCCCTTCGCTTGAGACAAGTGTCTTGGGTCGGGTTCTCTAGAAGCAGAGCCTGAGACAAGGGTTCAAATGCATGTGATCTTTGAGAAGTGCTCGTTAGAAATAACCTGTAAGGGAGGGAGGGATCAGGATAGGACAGGGGAAGGAGCGAAGCAAGGATGTGGTCCCAGCTGGAGAGTCGCTGTAGCCTGATCCCACCACAAGCTCTGGGGCATGGATGGTACCACAGAGTTAGTCCCAGCTTGAAGCAAGAGGCTGCACTTTTGTAGCCCATGTACATCAGTCATTGGCTGTGGGCTGCCCTTAAGGGACAGAAGGAGTCATAACCTGAGAAGGGTGGCCCCCATTTGGCCAAGGACAGTTCTCCAGAGAATTGTGCCAGCTGTGAGCCGTTCTTAGCCAGGGCTCACAGCAGATGGGAGTAGGCTGTGCTGGACAGTAAAGGGATCTGGGGGAGGGGGGGCACCAACAGCAGCTGGCCAGTTTACTGTAATTGAAAAAAAACCTTTTATTAGGTTATATTCATATGGTTCAAAATTCCCAAAGTACAAAAAGCAACAGAGTGAAAACTCGCCTCCCCCCACCTCCCAGGCATTCACCGCCCCTCTCCAGAGACAACAGCTGCATCTACCAGCTTCCTATACATCCTTTCAGAGACAGGCTCTGTATATACATCAGAGTCATTGCTTTCACATAACTGACAACATACTATACACACCATTTCGCACCTTATTTTTCTCCTAGCAACACATCCTGGAAAGTGTTTTATGTCAGGACATAATTTTGTTTTCTGGTACCTAGTATGCCACAGCATGCCTGTAACATATATATTTGACTAGTTAAGCACGTGGGCAATTGAGTTGTTTCCAGGCTTTTGCTATTTCCACATCGCTCCCGTGAATATTTTTGTACATCCATCATTTTGCATGGGTGTGAGTCTATCTGTAGGATTAGTCTGTATAATCACGGCATCTAACCGTGTGTGCGTCTGTAATTTGGATGGACATCACCAAGCAGCACTCATGGAGGTTGGAAAAGTCCACAATCCTGCAATCATCAGTTCATCCAGACCCTCTTCGCTCAGAGAGGTTTTCCTAACAACGGCTCAGATGCCAGCCTCCTACCTCTGTGGGCTCTGAAGCCCAGTACCCCCGATTCCCTTGCCCTGCTTGCCCTGTTCATCGTTCCACAGCCCCTTTACCTTCTAGCTTTCTACATAATTTACTTATTTACCATGTTCATTGCTTACAGTTGGATTTCCCCCACGAAAATGGAGGGGACTTGAGGTCAGGGTCTTTGTCTGTACACTGATGCCTCCCAAATACCTAGAATAGTGCTTGACACAGAGCAGATACTCAATAAATGCTTGTTGAATGAATGAATGAATGAAACAGCCACTACATCACTCACATTGTCTTTTACCAGGCCAGTCTTTCCATCGGGGTAGTGGGAATAGGGTTTATACCCAAGTGCCTTCCCAACACAAGGATGGGCAGAGTCCTTTGGTGACTGCTGGATTTGCAAAAGAAAAGGCCATGCCATGCCTAGAGTCTGGGCATGACCCCAGATGCAAGGCTCCATCTACCACACTGTACCCCCGGAGCTCAGGCTTCAAGGCTCTGCTCAGAAACACCTCCTCCAAGAGGCCTGCCATGCTTTCACCTCCTTTGGCTTTCCCTCTAACAACATAGATTGTCTCCATATCTGTCTTCTGCCCCAGAGTGGGAGCAGCATGGAGGCTGAAACTGTGTCCTGGTCATCTCCAAATCCCACAACACCTGACACAGACTGGCATCAGGAACGGGACTACAACTTAGGCAGGGTAGAGTGCTCTCAACCAAAGCTCCTGGGTACTTATCAGATGTGTCACCATGGCTACATATTCTTTGATAAAAGTAAGACGTTTTTAAAAATCACACGTAATTTATAAGCATATTCTAAAAGAAAGAATGATGGGAAGTGGAGGGGGAAGAAATTCAACCAGGTATTTGGAACATTTTATAAAGCAATAGTCATCAAACAGTATGGTATCGATTAAAAGTACAGGGACGTGTATTAAAGGAGCAGAGGAAAAGATATCCCCCAAACGCTGTGTAATATCCCATTTATTAAATGCTGGCTAGAACGAAGCCACCCTGGTCTGCTCTCTCCTCTGACATGCACAGCAGGCAATGAACAAATATTTGGTGAATGAATGAATATGCCTGGCACCGAGCAAAATGCTTTCCATAAAAGAGCTCATTTAACCCTCAAAACAACCAGTGTTTCAAACCAAGGAAACAGGTCGAGAGGATAAACAGTTGCCCAAGATCACGCAGTTAGGGAGACACTGCACTGCAGAGTGGTCTGTTTGCTTCCTGGGCTTGGCCTCTTCCACGAGGCTGTAAGCTCCTTGGCGTCAGGGATCGTGGCCTGGCTGCACCCCCCCTCCACACACACACACACACACACACACACAAACACATAGCCAATCATTTGCCGGGGCCTTGCACATACTAGGTGTTCGATGTGTACGTGGTCGGGCTTCGCAGAGGAAGGAACTCCTTGCAGTGAGCAGTGGGGAATGGTGCGGAGGAGCAGAGACCCTGGATTTTGAGGCGTGTGTGCCGGGGGTAGTGAAGAGGTTGAGCAGTGGGTCCCCGTGAGGTCATCGGAGCGCCCTCAAATGGGCTTCTGCATTCACTTGTTTATTCAAACAAGAAAGAGCAGCCACGTGCCAGAGCGAAGCTTGCTTCCTGCTTCAAGGAAAATCTGACAAGTTGGCAGAGGTTCCCAAGGCAGGGCCTGGGTCAGCCTCCATCGGGTCGCCCCTGGGTGCTTTGCATGGTGTCCTGGAGCACAGGACTCGGTTACTGAGCAGCTATGAACAGAGGCCCCAAGGTGGTGGCTGGGTGGGTGATGTCTGCTCTCTGCCCACCTCTGTCCAGCGCTCCACCACCTCCGAGCCCTTGTAGGGGGAAGGAAGGAGGGAAAGGGACTCCGAAACCTCCCAGACTTCCCCTGGCTTGGCCCCCAGGGCCCTAAGGCCTGAGACTTACCCCCCTCAACCCTCCTCTTGGGGTTGGGGGGCTTTCTGGAGGAAAGAACCTGCGTGCCAAGGGGAGAAGTCACAAAGCCTAGACACTAAAGAGCCCCTTCCTCCTCCGCGTGCACAAAACAGACTGAAAACACCCACATGGACACCCACCGCACAGCGGTGATGCTGAGTGAGCATCACACAAAGGTATACGAGGGCTTCCCTGGTGGCGCAGTGGTTGAGAGTCCGCCTGCTGATGCAGGGGACACGGGCTCGTGTCCGGGAGGATCCCACATGCCGCGGAGCGGCTGGGCCTGTGAGCCATGGCCGCTGAGCCTGCGCGTCCGGAGCCTGTGCTCCGCAACGGGAGAGGCCGCAACAGTGAGAGGCCCGCGTACCGCAAAAAAAAAAAAAAAAAGGTATACGACACACAGCGTGCCCAAGCATGGCGACAACATATGCATCACAAACTGGTGGGGGCCCACGCCACACACAACAGAGTGCTCAAGACAGCACTCAGTTACACACATACCACACGCATGGGTAGCACCAACCATCACAGACAAAGACGTCCAGAGCACAAGCATGAGCGTACACAGCACAGACCCTTCACGGGACTGGTACGCAACCGCCGGAGCCTGCACACACGGAAGGGAGGGGATGCCCAGATGAGAGTAAGTACCCCACCCATCTGCAACTGAATACGTATATAACTCAGAGAAACGTGCACACAAACACATATGACCCGCGCATGTAGAGACACACAAAGGCACCAAAGAACTTAAATTCTGTGCGCAACTCAGTTTCTCAGTCCCTCAGTCAAAAATCTTTTTTCACACCACAGAACCTTCCACATGCTTTAAAATGTGAAAAAAAAAAAGTGTGTGTGTGTTTCAGGAGGGTGGGGAACAACGGCCTAAGAATTTCCACGAAATGCCAGGAGAATATCTCTTACCACTGACTGGAATAGATTAATTTTCCCCATTTCATATTCTAATTATAATTCCTTTTCCCAGCGCCATCTTCAGTCGTCATTACAGCTGGAAGATTGTTCTGCGAAAGCCAGCCCTTCATCTTCTCTTCCCAAGAGTTTTGTCATGGAAATGAGTTTGGGAATCTGAAAGAATCCACATTTTTGCAAATAGCGAATGTGTGGGGATAACCCTTTCATGACGGCCACCAAGGATAGGCTTCTGAAGGGTCTGTCTCTCCCCACAA